TATGTAAAAATTAACATCCGATGTGATTTTCATAATTTTAATCATGTAACAATTAAGCACCATGCTGCATAGTGCCCATCTCTACGTATATGTTCATACATATGGACCCGGGTACTTCTCATTGAAGTAAACAATGTATAGTACCCGGGTATAAATCAAAATTAAGCCACTAAATCTCACCCGGTATAAATCATGGGGGGGTACTCGAGTCAGCACTTTACGGTAAGTATCTCAATCTTAAATGTTTATGATTATTATCTTTATGACTAATTTTTATTTAGGATCTATTTATTTACGACGAATTTTCTTTTATCTCTACATTATACTTATACTTTTGCTAGTTCTTTAACGCCTAACTCCAATTTCATTTTATACAAATCGTATTTTTATTAAATCGGTGATTATGTCATTGAACTAAGGCTTAATTAAACAATGCTTTATTATAGTTACGCACGGTTGTTGCCACATAAGACCCGTATAATATATATAAATATATTTTTGTGTAAGCGACCTCTTGGTATTGTTGCTTTTATTAATTATTGAAATTATGTTACAATTATGTTACATATTATTTAGACTCCCGTATAATATATTTATTATGGAAACTAATTGCACATGGGTTTATATTCAGACCACGTGGCCTTCGACACGTAGTTTAAATGAGTTTGTGTGTAAATATTTTAGTCACTCCTCATGTTAGTTCCTCAGAATTATTTACGTTCAAACATCCATATATATGTAACTATAAATTACCGTCAAGTTTTTGCAGACCATTTAATCAGGTTAAAGAAAATAACAAACCAATTCCTTGTTTTCAATTTTTTTAATATTATCTAATTTATCAAATGGAATTATTTGATAATTTGGTCATACGTAAAGATTTTAGAAATTTTTAAATAGTTTTGAAACTAATGTTGATTTTTCTGAATAAAGCAATTTTTTAAAGCAAAAAAATTTTACTACAACAAAAAATTTTAACAAGAGTATTGCTGATTTTAACCGGGGAAAATTTACCGAGGTGATATATCTCAAAAACCTACTAACAAACTTACGCAGAGGCACTAAGCCAAAATGTTAAGAACCTCCAAAAACCTTATCTAACTAAAATTTGGGCCATAATATCTAACCCTAAGCTTTGTCTAAAATTATATCTTAACCCCTAAATTTAATAATAATTTTACCCTCTAGTTAAATGTAGTTATTTTTTTTAAACAATACAAAAGGAAAAGCAACTGACATATAAAGTTATAATATTCAGTTTAGGCTAAATAATTCTTCAAATAATTCATTGTTAACTTATCATATACTATATATAATAATATTGCTTGTCATTTTGAATCTGATGAGATTATTATCTTGCTCCGATTATCTATCAGCGTCTAAGAATTGCTTTTTAATTTCATCTTCATTGGAATTTTCCATGCTTTGATTCCATTCATTAAGTTTTCTACAAACATCCGAAGCAGTAGGTCTTTTTTCTGGATCAGAATCCATGCATTGCATAGCTAATTCGATATAGAAGTTAGGAGTTCTGGAAAAAAACTCTGGCCGTAATCCATTGCAAATCTTTACTGAAAGATTAACATCACTTTGATAATCTTCAAAAGGTCTTTTCCCAGTTGAAATCTCTGACATAATGACGCCAAAACTATAAATATCAGCTGCTTGTGTAAATCTTTTGCCTAACAAAACTTCTGGTGCGACATAAGGCAAAACTCCATAAATACTATTTTCTGAATCAACTTCATCATGCTTTTTAACCGATCCTAGTCCCGAGATGTAAGATCGAGTTGTTTCACTAGTGCTTTGGTTTTGTAAAATTTTATCGCTGTTAAGATTAGTATGAATATACCCTGCTCTATGAATTTCAGATAAATCATCTGAAATATCTTTAAGTAATTTTAATTTAGTATGCCAGGTAAGTAGAAGAAAATTCTTTCTTAGGAATTTGTGAAGCGTCCCACTATCAGCATATTGATACACCATCAAGTATTCGTTTGTTTCGGTGTTTTGGGTTAATCCATATATTTGGAGCTTAATGCCACCTAACATACATTTCATATAATTATCGAACTTTATAAATTTATAAATTTATATAAATAAATTAGCTCGATATGTGTATAACAAATTATACAACAAATATAAAACTTACTGTTTTCAGAAAATTATGAGAATTAGAATCAGGTAAGGTCTTGAGTACAACAATGCTACATGGTTCGCGTGATCTTATAGAATCATAATCATTGCCATCAATATTTCGTATACCATCTAACCATGTTGCAGAAAATATAGAGCCGGACTTTCCTTCACCAATTTCTTTAATATCCATTATTCTATCAAATGGAATCCATTCAATCATACATTCATACGCGTTTGTTCTAAGTTG